TCGACAGCTCAGTTGGCTTGAGTGTTGACTGCACTAAAGTTTTGCCCATGTTTTTTTGGGTGCGAATTCCATCATGTTTTCCACAGCTAGATCGAAAAATTATTTTAAGATGCCGATAACGTCTATATGAATTATTTCGCGAAATTAGTCCTTGCAAAAGTAACGTTATATAACTTTTTACGAGAGCACGTGATCCAAAAATGTGCTGCTTGAAAGAATCAATTATCAGTAGAACTGTTTAAAGTATAATGCACTTTTAAAGGGCTCGAATGACTTGTCTTGCAGTTTTCTTCTACAAAGGTATGTAAGTTTTTTGAAATAATTCCACGAGTCTGCATTCAAGAAGAAGGTGTACATGTGAAGGTAAGAGGGCGAAGAAAGTACATTTACAGGCCAAAAAGAGGTCAAAACTCTTATTGATTGTCTCATCCTTCACCAAAATTTTTAGTATCCTCCCCTGAAAATTAATCTTCCGTATATGCATTATGCTCTAACATGAACATTTCGTACGGTTTTCAGCGTTAACGTCTGCGAAATAACATCCGCACAACATACAGATAAATAATAAGTGCAGATATACACAGGGTTTTTTCAGCGTGAAACGCCTGAGGAATGCGAATGTGATGTCTACGGCAATTTCGGTATATAACCCAGCAGAACATGGTTTTGAAGCCAGTTCCCTGGTTAATCATTTTGAATCCCTACCTACCTCCTCTTTTCTAGTCGGAGAAGAACTGAAAAACTTTGATCTATTTTTGCTAAGTTTCAACTTAATAACAAAATAATAGTGATAACATAATAGCTGTTGCACTAAATAGGAGTTCAGATTCCATTGCAAATAACATCGTTTAGAAAAACCGTTGGAGTTTTATAATAAGTTTTCATGGCTTAAGTTAACATTTTGTAAAAAAGGACTGTTCGTGAATTCCTCACACTTTCAAGTCAACTTATTGACATCATGCCTGCAAAAACCGCCTCTTCGAGTGGCTGAATATTTGTTAAACAGGCGCAATTTCGCGTCATCAGTGTCTACTGATATAGGAAATAAGTTTATACACAGATAAAATTTTGCCGATGTTTGTTGTTATCGGCAAAACAACTGGCATTCATGCGATACGCCTTTTCACTTTTCCCGGCAAATAAAATTTTACACTTGCGACAATGAACCAAACTGGCGGGAGCAGCTGCATTCGAATAACCAGCAAATGCTCATTGGACAACCCAGCAGATTCAACGAACAACGCCATGATAGGCCAGGTGGGCCAATTATGTTATCCATCTAGCAGTAAATTCGCTAAATAATTCTTAGTGGCGGGGAACAAAATACAACACCCTGCTACATTATTGATTGAAAGCAAATCGAGGTATATGAAGTATAACCTAAGACTAAATTTAAAAAAATAACTTCAACGGTGAAAACTGGTAAGGAGGGGGTAACTGCCCAATAGAATGATAGTGTTTCAACAGATTTAAATATTTTTCAACATCACATCATTTTAGCTTAGGGAATACGTACATCATAGAAAATTTAAGTGTAAAAGAGCTCCAAATTATTTTTATAGGATAAGAAACTCTATACCCTTTTCAAAATAGGGATAAACATGCAGAAGCAGGCGCCGGAGAACATGATTCAACATTGGAGACGCACGTAGTGAAACGTCGAGGCGACCAATCAGATCGGAGTACGTTAAGTTAGGGCGCTATATGCTGCAGTAGCAATCCAATTGGACTAGCTTATTCGATTATCCCAAGGTCGCTCAAGTAAGGAGAGGAAAATCCACATTAGGCTTACTTCGCATATTGATGCCAAATTCAAAAAGAGTGGGCGACAAAACTAATATAAGCAGTCAACATCGAACAACGAACGACTAGACTTATCCAATGGACATTACAACCACATTTTCGCCTGATTCATTTGAGGCAAAATGCCTTGGCGGACTCAGCTGGGCTTGGTATGGTTTGGGAGAATGCATTCGTAGCACTCGTGACAAGGTTTCTATTGCCTTCGGCATACTGAGTATTGCCGCCTGGTTTGCGTTTGGATTTCCTCAAATGGTAACCAACTGCGTCAAAAAAATTCCGGATGAGGCTGTTTCACCTTGGCTTCTACTTTTCTGGCTCCTCGGCGACAGTCTTAACCTTATTGGTGCATTCCTAACAAATCAGCTTTTCCTCCAAGTAAGTTGGCCACGTATCACTTTGATTTTGTCGGTATATTGCAAAAATATGCATTGTTTTTTGCCTTCAAAAGAGACTTTATTCATAAATATATTAGGTAGGCCGGTAAAAAGCAGACCTGGAACATCCGTTATCCTGGCTGTGAGGCAGTAATATGTACAGTATGAGCCCCAATCATGCAAAATACTGACATCTGCAAACGACTGATAATCGCTCTCAAACCGACAATATCATATTTGTGCAAACTTTATAATAAAACCAATTCATATTCTCAAGAGAATTTTCAGTTTTGAGGAAACACAAAAGAACATATACGTTGTCCAGAAACATCTTTAAAGAAATCTTGGCTTCCAAAAAAGTGACAAATCACTGTAAACGTTACCAATAAATTCAAATAGGATTGCCAGGGCATATCGTAAACGTACAGCTATGTGAATAGTAAAAGAACTTTCCTTTCGTCAAACCTCTTAGTAGATATTTATGGTATTAGGTTACAATTGGTTTCAGATGTCCTTGATATTGCGGCGAATATTTCACGATATTCGTTTTCTAAGTTTTATGAAAGCCTTCAGAATATAGTAGTTCTTCAAAACCTTTACCGAACCAGTGAGTTTTTGGGCAACAGTAGCTTATGCAGTCCCCTAATTAATCTCTACTTTCAGCATCTTGCCCTACGAAAACGGTGGCTATAGGGTGTTATGGGTGGAAAATTAGGAAACGCAATGAACCATGCTTTAATAACTTCTGTATGCATTTTTATTTTATTGAATTTAGAAATGTTGTTGATTTATATTTGTAGATTTTCCTCATCTGTAGTATCGTTTAGCGTATTGCGGAAAAACAGATTATCAAATTGCAGGTTTCTTGAAATTCCCGAAAAATAGAAATGGTGGTTAGAAAGTCGTCTACTTCAAATTACCATTCTGGAGTTAGATTCGTATAGTCCGCGGCACTTGGCGCCGCGGTGCACCTTTAATTTACATGCGGAACAGCTTACACCCAGCAGCCGCGGGAAACAAATTCGACTATATATTTTCACTTTATACTTACTGCTATAAAGTTCCTTCGCTGCCTATCCTATTTTACAACCTCCAAAAAACCCTATGATCGCCGTTTCCGTAGGACAAAATGCTAAGAATAGGGGTATATGAGGGGGACTACGTAAGCTACATTTGCCGTTTTTGGATATTCGTTCTCTTTTAGATGACTGCTTTGGCCACACTTGTGGACTCACCCATACATTTAAATTATTTGCCGATAAAAATGAACTTCTAAAACAAACAATCGCGAATAATATGCCTACGACCAATTAAACAATGTAATAATAAGTAACCTCTTTTATAGCACAGTGCACCAATCGAATGGTTTGGTTCTGTCACATAAAATAGCATAGGAAATTTCTTGGAGTTCCAGCAACATCAGATTTCACCAGCAATCTGCCTTATTTCCATAGATAAAATGGAAAAGGTAGTTTAAGTAGTGCCCCGTATATATCCCTAGTTCCACCATTTGTCCTACGGAAACGGTGTTTGATTAGGGGTTTTGGGATGGACAAAGAGGATAGGCAGTGAAGGGGGTTTGTCGAAGCAAGTGTAAAGTGGAAAATTGTAGTTTAATTGGTTTCCCGCGGCCGCTGGTAGTAAGTTGTTCCGCAAGTAAAATGTAGCTGTGCGCGGTGCTTAGCGCCGCGGATAGTAATAATCTCACTCCAGAACGGTAATTTGAGGTAGACGACTTCCTTACCTGCTATCTGACTATGTCTCTGATGACGAATGCGCGACGGATCTCGAAACGTCAGGCGAATTAAAGTATTGTCCCGGCGATTGAAACGTCTTCTTCTCAATTTCTATTTTTACAGGAATTTCGAGAAACCTGCATTTTGATACTTGCGTTTATCCGCAATACTTTAACTGTAATACCGACTAGGAACAACAAGAGTTCTAAATGTAATAAAATAAAAATACCTGTACCTGTTAATAATGTATATTCCACAGCCTATCTTCATTCCCCACCCATTAAACCCCTACAACCGCGGTTTTCGTAGGACAAAAAGCTGGGACTAGGGGTATATGAGGTGCACTACCTGAACTACTGTTGCCGATAAAATAAACATAATATTCACTTTTCTTTAGTAAAAGGCTTTCCGAATGTTAAATCAACACGGCAGATCCAAATATCAAAAGAAAATACGTGTTAAACCACCAAGTCCGATTACGATCATGATTTTATGTGATTTAGTTCACTTCTTGCACGTGCTCTTAAGGAACGAATAGAAGTCGGCGATGCTGTACTCTCCTTTCCCTCAGTACTTCCAATTTTAGAAAGTCCTCGCCGGCTACACCGTCGTGGTCGATTTGATTCTTATCGCCCAATATGTATACTACTTATGTCTCCATAAGCACAAGATCAAGAGTGAGTCTATTTTGCGTTAATGCAACATTTTTTGTTAGATTCAAATGTATTGATCTAAGAACTCTAGGAAAACAGTCTAGTAAACCTAACGGTCTAGAAGATAAACAACAGTTCTACCAACTAAGCATTTCTCACTACCTCAGCTGTATTCAAAATTGCGATAGTGGTCTGCGGAATGTAGAAGCAGGGACATTATTTTCTGCTAATACATGCGGTGTCTTGTTCAGTTTCTCCACAAAAAGTCTTTCATTTCTACAAAAAAAAAACAGAATACGGCGAAGACTACAACCATGAAATGAATGATACCAACAGTATCCAGAGCAGTACCTCAAAAATGTCCCATTCATCAACAGCAACAAAGACCCTAACTACCGCCCTGTTAGGTGTCTTCGGAGTTTCTTATTTCTACCTACCCGCAATTCTTAGCGAACAGGGAAAATCCGCCCATTTGGACAGGCTGCATTTGCAGGGGCGTCAGCTGCTTCAGGCTGCAGATGATGTCACCACCATCACCGGGCCAGATCCTTTTGCCGGCTTTCTCGCAGTAAGTTTTGACTAATAATTATTTCCCAGCTAGATCACGACCGTCAATAGTATAGAGGTCTAGTATGACCTAAACTAGATCCTCAGCAACCACAATCGGCACCGATGACTTACCGTTAAATAATCATCGGTAGAAAATTTAGGAGAATGGTCATACAGTAAAACCCTTTCTTATTAACTGTCAATCAGAAATTTCAAATACGTCACTGATTCGAAGAAATTACTCATAAAGAGTAGCGAAATAGACTATCCTGCAGCACCTTCTCGAGATATTTAGGTCAAATCAGAATGCCGGCTTTGGAACGAGCTTCCTCCTGACTACCTACAAAATGTCCCTTCAGTAAAATGCAACAACTTAAATAGCATACTTCCGTGTCCCTGATTTCCCATTCCCTGAAAATTCAAATAATTTTATGGCAAGCATGCCCAAAATATACCTTGTTGGGTAGCAAATGATGCCTTCTTCAGATTATCCAGATAAGGAAAGGGCATTCTTTGGTTGCAAGGAATTTACCGTATATGGAGATATTTTAAGAGTGCGACATGGTCCTTATTAGTACATCGTTTCCGCCAACTTACTATATTGGCCTATACAGTATACAACACCATCCAATTCCATCTCCAAATTTTATGAGACGTATGTGTTCAGTTCCTCATGGCATAGAGAACTATGTAATTTTCCTCAGACATAATGTGTACAGCTTGAAATACCGAATTCAGGGTAATGGCCGTTAAAATTCAATTTATTCGGCAACTGATAAAAAATTTCTATACAGAAAGGTATATTTTCGTCAAGTATGAAATTTTGAGAAAATGCAATTTGCTACCCAACGAGTACAAGCAAGAATATTTTGTCAAATAATTCCTATTAAGTTTATTTGACTGAATGAGAGCTTTAAAAATTCATTGAAAAGAATTCATGGCAGTTTTTTTACAGAGTAGTCATTTTGCAGGCGCCCAGAAAGAAACTTGCTCAAAAGTCGATAGCCTGCCGTGACAGACATAGCTTAGGATTATGCTGCAAGGTGATCAAGACAGCGAACCTACTTGATTACCTT